CGATAATTTTTAATCGATATATATCGATTAACTGCTATATATTGATATATATCTGCTTAAAAATTTTGCTGATGTTGATGATCTCCTTCTCGTTACAATCAGATGTGTGCACAAGAAAACAATTAACGTCAAGTGATCGTTAAGGCTGGTTGTCGTAAAAAAAAAAATTGTGGCAGTGCAATAAGATCAATCAGATTTAAAATTTTACAACTCATGACATTTTTTCTTCATAGAATTCCACTGTTGGTATAGCCTATTTTCAACATCTGTTTAACACATTATTGGTACAGTTTAGAATCCGCTGTGATGCTGTTATATGTGAAAACTTGCAACGATGTGACGACCATGATCACACTGACCAATAAGTCGTAAGATTTTGCACCCGTACATTCACTAAGCCATATACTTCGTTTCACTCCGTTCCTGGTATAATTGTATGTATTATTTAATCAAAATACTGTATCGTCATTATTGCTTTAATCATCATTAATTTTAATATCGGCAAATAAATTTAAGCTCCTCCTTACGTTCCTGATTTTGATGGCGACACTAGGTGCATCAAATACGTAGTACCGGTCACGTAATTCAAATGTATGCTCATGTAAAACCACACGCAGCAATAGTCAAATCAATAAGGATCAAAGATATCATACTGTAAAAGCTGCGATGAAATAATATGTAAAAAACAAACAATCCGTGATATATAAGTCATGTGAACCAATCAAATTCTAGATTTTGCAGACTAAAATGTTGTATAAACCATACATTATATTCGTTCCTGGTATACACTCCGTGATATTCATCACTCCGATCCTGGCATGTCTAACAAACTACGTTGTAGTGAAAATTGCATCACATTAATGGCTGTAACTATATAAAACTATAACTGCAGGTTACCCTCGTTAATATCAACCTAAGCCACAAAACAAATTTTTATAAATTTTTATACATCAAAATTCCCTCATATATATCAATTTTAATATGATTTTTCGTTAAATCACTATCAACATGATTTAAAACCAATTCAAATAGGTTGATATTAACGAGGGTAACCTGTGCTAATATTGAACTACGATACTTCTTTTCACTAACTTTTTTGTAGGTTCATTGGTACTAAACAATGAAAATTCCCGATGAAATAAATCTACTACCGAGTCCGAAACAGTAACTTTATATACAGGAAAACCCTTTCAAATTGGAAGCTGTGCGAAGCTTTTTTATGCGAATAGGTCAAGAAACAAGATTTTGAATAATTATTATTGCTCAATCGGATGACGTTAGTAAATGTCACGGAGTTCTCAGTCTACCGTGTATTACTTGACTTTTGCTATTGGTCTTTTCTCGCTTGGCTAATAAACAATAACTGGAGTATTGTACCAGATACTACCATCAACAATGTATTCACACAGATAACAGTTTTTCACCAAGAATAGCTCAAAGAGATATCGGGAACAAAAGTTAGGCACTTCCCCCATTTGGATCGATGCCTTATATATTATTACTAATCACTATTGATTACTATATTGTTCATGCAATCACTATTTGAGACTTTTAATTAAATTGTGATTACCCGATTAATTAGATCATGACATTCAATCAACATGTACCAGATCACTAGTCACATGGGTACCGCATAGCATTGCAACACAAGCTAGAACTCCAGTAACTTCATCCCCAAAGTTACAAAACTCACATCCATTCTACCAAGTTTTCTCATTTCAAAATGATTGTCAAATGCTATACTAACCAACTTCTCTGAGCTACACCCGGCTATTTGATCCAAATACAAACATTTAAGAAATTTGATCTTTTTACCATTACATGTAGTGTTCCAAATTGTTAGTTGAAAAACCAACTAGTTGCCAATTTTCCAACTAGTCAATTTGAAAAAATTTTAAACAACTAATTGATTAATTATTCAACTAGTACAATTCTGAGAAATTCCATCTGGTTGGGCAGATCTGTATTAATTCCTTTTGTTTGATTGGCTAATCATCTGATTATATAATGTGATGTGAACAACTGATAAGTTACAACTATAGTTGGCAACTAATTGATTAGTAAATTATTTACTAGCTCATAATACTAATTATATGGCACAGCATGACTCCAATTTACTTTTCAATCCACAATTGTTTTAATACCATATATCTTGATTAATCAATATTCGGAATTTTATAGCTATGCAGGATTTCTAATCTGATTACTCATAAACGTTATACAACTTTTTATCTATTGTTTTATAAGAAGATTACGGCAGTTGTTATTCAAAGATCTGCTATCATTTACAACTCTATTATTAGTTTTAGCTTTATAATCTAAGCTAGATCCTTCAGATTCAATAACCTTTTTATCATCATTATCATTTTCATATACCTCAATCACATTATTCTTATTGTTTGTATTATTAATGCTACATTTAGTCTTTGTTAATATTTTTAGTAAACTCTTCATCATTGCATTTATTTTCATAACTTCGTCTAATGATATTTCAATTAATACTACCAGTTTATTTTGATAATGATATCCAGTTTCAATCATTATATTAGTATTGTTCACATTAGTAGATTTTTGATAATAAATGAATGTTTTATATTCATTCTTTTCATCATTAATACCAACACACATTTCATTAGAATTACCCACCTCATTAGGTTTTTGATTATAATTAAATGTCTTTTGTTTATTTCTTTTAACCTTTACTCCATTTTGGTAGCAAGTACTAGGATTATATAGTTTATAAGTATTACTATTTTTACAGATTTTAAATCCTATTTAAATGTTTTATTTTTATCAATAGCTTTTGCAGCTTCAGTTCTGTTTCAAAGACAATTTCAAGATTATAGGTTCCACTAATATGATCTATCTTATTGGATCTTTGATAATGATTAAACATATTATATCATCCTTTTTTATATTAATCTTATTTTGATAATGATGTCTAATGATATATGCTTCATTAGCATCACTTGTATTAGCAGATTCCTAATAGTATTTGAAGACTTTATTTTCATCTTTTTCAATACCAATTTTATAATAATAGCAACAGTCTTCACTAAATGTTTTATCAGCATTACTTAATTCTACTAATTTTTGATAATTAATGAACATCTTATATTTATTCTTTTTATCATAAATTTTATATTTGTCCTTTTACTATTAATTTCATCTTTGTAGCAGCACTCAACTATAAATATTTGATTAACATTACCCAACTCTTGATGACCTATGAATACTTCATATATATTCTTTTTAATATTATTTTCAATAGCATCATCAACTTTGCAGTTTTCAGATAAATGAATAGATAATATTTATTCTTTTTGTCTCCAATTTTATTTTTATGACAAAATCTAAGATTATTTTGTTCATCAGTTTCAGGTTTGTCTTCTGAATTTATATCCTTTATACCTAATCTTCTTTTATTCAATTTATTAACAATTCTATTCTTCTCTTTATTATCAATACTATCATATTTTATTAATTTACTTTTAATGCACCTTACATTGACATTATCATTCCTCTTTGCACTTAATATACACCTAATATCTGTAATATCACTTTCTTTTCATCATCATTCTCTTTTATCCTATAATCTTTATCTACAATATTTTTATAAATTTCAAATTCTTCTAAGATCACAAACATGGTTTCATCATTATTAGATTGAATCATACAACAATATTTTCTATCCTTCCACTTGAAATCACATCTTGTTTTCACGATCCATGACATACCAAGAACTACATTAGAAACCAGTTCATGCTTCACATAAAATTCTTGAACTATCTTAACACTATCAATATCAATTTCAATACCAGAAACATAATCTAATAATTTTATTATTATTTAAATATTTTTAGGTAAGTCTTTTGCTTCTCACATATTTTATACTTATTAAGTTTAAAGATAAACTAAGTCTAATTGATGCTTTTGCAAACTTTTTATTTACCTTTACTATCTTTTCTAATATCCCACAATTGTCTTTATTTTTGTTATCACCTTTTTGTCCTATTTTAACTTTTTCTACTACATTTCAAACCTTCACACTTCTTTCTTCTAATTTCTACAAATGAACATCCATCACATTATAATTTAATCTTTGATCATGACTTTGATCTTTTATAGATGGACACAAATAAGCCAAGTGCCCTTTTTGCCAATACACATAACACAAACATAACCTATGTTTTCATTGTTTCTTCTAAAATGTTTTCAGATTCTGTACAACCTCTTTAACCACAGTTTCTACAATGTTTTTCACCAATGTTACTAAATAATTTTTACGTTCCATTCTTTTCAAACTCCAATTCCATTAAACAATATATCTTGCCACCAAGGCAGTAAAACCTTTCTGACCTTGCACTTAGCACAATTCCAATGACTTCCAATGTATTGTAGCAAACAAGACTGCATCTTGCCCAGGTTCTTTATGTTATGGAGTTTCTCAGTCTACTGTGTATTACTTGACTTTTGCTATTAGTCTTTTCTTGCTTGGCTAATAAATGATAACTGGAGTATCATACCAGATACTACTACCAACAATGTATTCACACAGATAACAGTTTATTCACTAAAAATAGCTTAAAGAGATATTGGGAATAAAAGTTAGGCACTTCCCCCATTTGGATCGATGCCTTATATATTACCATATTTCGCCTTGTAGAGTACCCCTGGTTGACTATACCCCCTTGATTTATACCAGGTATATTACCAGGTCTATAACCTGTATTTTTAGTACAAGACCCAGTATGATAAACAGAGGTTTTTATGCATGTGACATATAAAAACATATTGTTTTCATAATATGATCCTTACATAAGACCCCCATATAGCATACCCTCCGCTATACAGTATACCCAGGGGGTATAAATCAAGAAAACCGGTTTAGATAGTAAGAGACCCCGGGTACTTTCTATGGCGAAATACGGTATTACTAATCGCTATTGATTACTACATTGTTCATGCAATCACTATTTTAGACTTTTAATTAAATTGTGTTCACCCGATTAATTAGATCACGACATTCAATCAACATGTACCCGATCACTAGTCACATGGGTACCGCGTAGCACCGCGACATTAAAACATAAACTGAAAAACGTATGGAAATCTGTTTGCTATCGTTACAAGCTTTATCATCCATAATTAAATATTACTTCCCTAAAACACTACTATGGGTGCTTGCCGGTCCTAAATATAACCGAAACCGTGTTATAAAAAACAAATTCATAACACAACCCTAACTACTCTATAATTTCTAAACATTTAGGGAAACCGCCAAGAAGATATTCATATAGATACGAAGAGAATCGGCCATGTAGTCATTTATGAAATGACAAGGATATTTCCTATTTTAGCAAAAAGAGTCCTTGCACTAATGTTGCCGCTGTGACGTCTAGAACCTATTTAACAAAGTCCTTGCATTGCTGTTGTAGCCACGAAGCCTAACCAGGGATGGTAAATGACCTAAATGACCTAAATGACCCAAATGACCCAGATGACAAATGACTAATTATTTGTTATTTCAAGGCCCATTTAACATATGTTAGTTAATATTCTAATACCTTTTAGCCAATCAGAATTGGCCGCCAAACAAAATCAAATTTTGTAAAAATATAATCAATGATCGTAGCTATATATCAAAATCAAAATATTACTAAATCAATTAATATTATGCCTTAAGTAGTGTTGTTCGGGATAATAAATTGCATATGTTCTAAAATTTTATATAAATTGAATAATTCATTTCCGCATTTTACGTTTATATGAAAAATTAAAATTTTTCGTGTAAACGAAACATGAGAAAGTAAATTAATAAAAAGATATTCAATTTACATGAAAATTTCCAAATACACGCAATTTATTATCCCGAACAACTTTAATTAAGGCATAGATATTAATTGACTTAGTAAAATTTTTAATTTTAATATCTAGCAACGATTATCGATTAGAAAAAGCAATAAAGTTCGATAACTTTTATATGTGTAATTCAACCAATAAAATTACTTTATATGCAAATGACCCAAATGACCTGGTCATTATTTAATGACTTGGGGTCATTTAAATTTTGATCAATGACCAGGTCATTAACCATCCCTGCCAAGATCATTGCACTGCTATTACAGCAGCAGAACTTAATACGCAGTCCCTGTACTGTGGCTGCAGAACCTAACATTACTTACCATTACTTTTTGTCTATTTAACGACTGAGTCACTACAAGATATGCGGAGATTCTAAGGGCGGTAAAGCCAGCCTTTCTACAAGGCAAGCGATAGTGAAGGAAAGGATACCCTCTTCACTAAAACATCACCTTAGATTCACTGTATTTACAAAAATTTCCTTTCCTTTCTACCCTTACTGATTTTATGCTTTGAATTCATATGAAAACGTCCCTTTTATTACTAATTAATTAATAATTATACAGGATCAGTTTGCTACTTAACAATCATGAGATTATAATTTCAAGAAAAATCTGTACCTAACAAGACAGTGCGACAGCCATTACAAAAAACAACCAATAAATGGCTAAAGCGACAAGTTAAACATGCGATTCTAAAGTCATCTAATCTCGCAATAATAATCATTTTGCCACTTTGTTGACAAGCTTCTTAGCAAGAGTCGAATATATCATGAAGATAATATTGTACAAAATGAACGTTTGTGTGCTTTGTCCAAAAAATGGGATTATATAATATTCGTAATGTGGCCTTAGTAATTCAAATTTAACTTCAAAGATATGAATTTTATTTGTGAATCGAATTAACAATATGCTCTTTTGCAATTGTAAATTCGCTCTTGGTAAATCGTTAAAAATTGTGTATCAGTATAACAATAAAAAATTTACAATAAATTTTTGGGGTTCATATCATTATTGCGATATATAACTAGTTTCCGATTGACCAATTAAATTAAGGTTTGAAGTAATACAATTTTTAACTG